GAACTAATCATGGATCCGACAATATGATGGAGGCGTATTTGGAGATTTCATTTAGAGTTACTCATAGATGATGTGAAAAGCAGGGTCAACCTGGTGGTTGCGGATGAAGTGCCGCTGCAGCTTGTTGTTAAGAGTCGAGATGTCATGCACTGCAACACAAAGGTCTGACCTTGAGAAATGTTTGGCCAAGGCCCAGGGCTACTGCCCGCCCAGGCCTAAGCCCACCCTTGCCATCTTGGCACGACCGTCAGGATGAAAGAATGATCTAGACACAAAAGTCAAACACAAGCCTGACCTCAAATGAGGTGGCTAGAAAACGTTCCCTAGACGTCATGTTCCCTAAACGTCTGGATGAGACAAAGGGCCTCGCCGCACTACTCTCAACATGCACAAAAGACAAAATCATGGTGGTGTATCTTTCCATATTCTAGTGGAAGATTCGCTCTCGTTTTGCACATTTCGAGAGTAGTGCAGTGAGGCCCAAAGTCGTCGAGACTCATCCTGACCACAGTAAAGTGGACCGACGACAACGAAAACCGTACGAACAACAAAACACAATATGCTAAATCGAAATCAAAGCAACCTGCGTAAGACTAGACTGAGAGCGCACAAAATACACACGTGTATGGACGAAAGAACTAACAAAATACTGACACACCTGCCGATATCAAAAGCGAAGCAAGGCAAAATCTGGCTATATGTTGAAACCTCAACAGTGACACAAGGAAAATAATGAATGTGTTGGGGCGTACAATCAGCACACGCCAGACATCCCTGCCTGGGATGGTAAACTGTACGGAGAACAGACAAAAACACACACACACATACACATACACACACATGCTCTCACAACAGATAAAATACCTACATAGCTGCTTGAAATCAAAACCAAGGTGCTTTCTATCATATTCGGCCCTTAGACATGTGTAGAAGGCTCCAAGCATGGTACACCCAGTCTTGCTTAGACCACCAGTACTTGGTCCAGATATCAGACACGGTGAAAAAAAAAGTAGAAACATTATCATCGGATGAATTTGGACGCTCCTGTAGTGGCCCGTACATTTCCTAAAATTGTGGCTTGTTAACGGGCACAACTTTAGGGGGTACTGATGGTTTAACAAGCCGAGATGCAGCGAGGTCAAAGTCAAAGTCAAAGTCATTGATTGGAAGAGGGTACGTAAACGCAAGTGGAGCATTAGGGATGAGCCTTCAATGCCTCACGCGACGGTCGTTTCTTTTTGTACTTGGCGAGGGCATCTGGTGATTCGACAACGGTCTACATGATCGCTGTCGTAGGACAACTGTGCCAAGTACTGCAGTGGCTTGTTCCCTCAATGACGTATGTGATGATGTAAGAAACCTTGTGGGAAAAGCCGTTTGAGGAAATCGTTCGTGCTTAGTTATAAGAAAAGAGGCAAGCTTGGATGCATGGAAAACCGAATGTAATTATCGGGGCGGTACTTCAACCATAAGAAGGGTCGTCCCGTTTGTCACTGCCAAAAGCAACAACACGCCAACTACCCATCCAATTACGAAGGAACTCATGTGAGATATCTGTTTGAAGTTGAATTTTGCGGTCATTAGCTATACAGACCACCTTCTCGAAGGATATAATTCAGTTGTAAATAGGACGTTGAACCTGTTTTTCAGCAGGTGATGCTCCCCACCAATAGATGGAGCCTCTCCCCTTGTGTTAGCGGTGTCTGCTCTTACCAGCACCACTAGCACTGGAGGGGCGTGTTTAGAAAAAAAAAAAAGAGGGTAGGGCAATCGTTGCCAGTTGGCCTGATGCGTCTTCTGCAACTTCGTTCAGACCTTGAGAAGTACGTCTCACATCTTCCAAATAAACATGTTGTGTGCGTCGCTCTTAGTTGTGCGGGGAATGCGGGAATACATACGGATGTTAGCACGCTCAACATACTTAAGCAGCGTCAAGCATGGATGGGAATATGCCAATGGTAAGGAAAATAAAAAAAATTGTTCGCCTTCTTGTCGAAAAGCCACTCGACCCGGTCCTTTTCATCACAATGAACAATAACGGTACTTCGTGCGGGTCTCGTGTTTCAATTCACCAAGGCAAAAACATTCCCCATACGCTCATCCGGCTGCCTGGTCCAGCCCGTCCTGGAAGAATTGGTGATGGTTGTTCTTCTTGCTTCCCTTAGCTTTCTGCTGAGAACCACCTGGGGCGCTATCGTGTCTCCCTCAGTAGAGGCATACGAGGCTGTTGCTTGACCACCACTATATCTTGTCGCCTAACGCATTCACAAGCGGTTGTTGAAGAGCTCAACACGGCCACGAGACAAAGTTGTGCTTCTTGGTGGCGATAGTCAACCGTAAGTTTGGTGTTAAGGCGATGCTTTGATATTTTATAAGTCATCACAGGCTTGTTTGGGGTGTTGTGGACAAAAGCAATGGGGATTAATGATTCTGAGGGAGAGAGAGAGGAGGGCGGGTGAAGTAGAGAGTGCGACCCACATGTCAGTCGTTAGAAAATAAGACATTGCAGCCACTGTGCTTGCTCCGAACGAGTGAAAATTGTATAAGCAATGTTCAATCAGCAGGAAACCACAAAAAAGTACGGCCGCTCACCCTAGCCAGCGACCGCTGAGCTGTTTGGGATCCTCAGAGACTTTACGCAACGCGAGAAGTATGGGATATGTTTGGTGTGTATTTTTCCAACCATCCTGATTTACGTTGTATATTAACAGATTATGGTTTTGAGGGTCATCCGTTACGATCACGAGTGAGACGGCCTATAACGTGTGGAAGGTGGTGGGATCGCAGGAACTGGGAGCATCATGGAGAGGTGGCAGGAGGCTTTTAAGCCATCTTAATACGTGAGTACGAGCGCATACATTAGCATTGTACATGCGTAAAAATGCCTCATCAGGGGTTTGGCAGGTCAAGGGTAGGCGTAGTGGGCTAATGGGAGGTCTGAGAGAGTCATGGGAGTCTGGGAACATGCAGATCATGGGGGCTGGGCCCAGCAGGGCTGAGAGGAGCCCTGATGAGAGGCATAAAAGGAACAACCGGTTGTCAAGATGCCAAAGAAATTGAAGTGTACGTTGAGCGCCTTCAAGTGATCGGCAAGCAACAACAAGGTCAGTGAGAGTTGAGGTTGAAAGCGTGGAAGTATGCAAGGCTCAGCCAAAAGCTCACCAACGCATCGCACACTATTTCTCTACCATCGTGTGTGGCAAAGGACCAAAAATTGTTACGCAAAGGATGACTGAAGAGGAAGAGGAGTATGAGGCTGTCGTGGGTGGGGAGATACTCTCCGGTCCGAAGAGGACGATGCCACTAATGGTACTGGGTGCGGGCATCAATGTGGAATCGTGGATGCCAGGAGACAAGGTACATTTCTCCCCCTACTCTCATTTTCCAAGGGCATCGGGAGGGTATGAGTGAACCAGTTGAGGTGGATGATGATGATAACCTCAATGTACGTGTTTGTGATGGTGAAAGGGTCGTGGACGATGCTTAGAGAGACGAGCGTCACCTTCTTGGTGACACCCTCGTCACCCCCGAACCATAACATAGTGAGAAGAGGCGCAAAAGCGTGCGTTGTTTTCATTGACCCCTAACATAATTTCCTTGCGTTACTTTCTAGGTGCCTAGAAACAGGAAACTCCGTTTCATGCGGCATCAATGGGCACGAAGAGGCAGTGAGGAGCAAGCGAAGGTTTGGCAAACGCTTCGACAAAGGGACCTGCGCCTAAAAGCATCATGCAACAGACAATGGACTGAAGTTTGGGATATACACGCCCATCCTTGCCTTCAACGCGTTCTGAATTGACGAGCGGCTCAAGATGGTTCACCACATCAGGCTCCTAAGACACATTTTCTCCCCTTCTGTGAAATATGTAGTGGATTATAATGAAGCACGCGGATAAGATCATTAGGATCTTGTCGCCAATGATTGATGATTTCATCAACACGAGGGCTGCAATCAATTTTGGATGGTTTATCAACTTCCTTGTGACTGGTGTCGATCGGGCGATTCTGTGACGGACCTTCCGCATGAGGATCCCGAGCCTCATTTTGTCCCCTCCCGTGAGATATGCAAGCAAGGTCATGCGGCAGGCGGATATGATCATCAGGATCTTGATGCTGACGAACAATGCTTTCGACAACACGGGAAGACTATTAATTTTGGATGGGCTATCAACTTCCTTGTGACGGGTGCCAACGGGGCGTTCGTATGAGGGACCGCCCACAAGGACGGAACAGGCGATTCGACAAAGGGTGTCGTGTAGGAGAGAATCAGGGTACTCAAGACATCCGGACTTGAGAAGGTCAATGCCATTTACACCGATTTTGCATCCGCTGACATAGGCTTGCTGAGCTTCTGACTACGTCAACAATAACGTGATGATATCAAAGAGCTCAATTGATTTCTTGTGACCCAGACACAAATGAGGCTTCACGCATGTTGAGAGCCTTGAGCTTGGTAATTGAAACTAAGAATAAAGATCGGAGGGTCGTGTGGAGTATTGGTATAGGCGGGGTGGTGCTCTTGTTATCCCTACTGGGACGTATGTACGGCCGCAATAGGAACAGTCGAGGAGCATCGCGAAGGGGGCGTTGGTCGAATTGTGGGCGGTATTGGTCTAACATGAGTGGGAGCGGTGGCCAGAACAGGCAGTTTAATCCACCACCTCTTGGGATATATGGGCCAACGGGCCAGCATTCGATGGTAAACCATGTTGGTATGCCAGCTGGAAGTAGTAGTGCCTCTGGGAATGGCAGTGCCTATCAGGCACAACAACCAGTTGGGCAGTGGAATGCGCATGCATGACCGAGCCCGTGGACTATGGCCGGGCCGTGGATGATGCCTCCGGCACCGATGCTTCAAGTGGCCCAGCCTGTGGTCGTGCAACCACCAATCGTGCTGCAACCGCAGGCAGCTCCGACGATGACCCAGCCTGTGAATGGGCAGCAACATCAACATGCGAGTAATCAGTCGAGCTCGCTGCATAATAGTCAGTATTCTGATCGGTCGTCAAATTCCGGCAAAGGGCCGGCTGCAAATGCGTTCCCTGGTCCGGGGAATAGGGCCTATTTCACTAAAGAATACATGGATATTCTTAAGGACATCAAGTCGACTAAGGTATTGGATGAAGCCAAGAAGAAGGTTGCGGGTAATAGACGGGGAGGCGGTGTGCAAATCCCTGGGAATTCAGGTGAAAACCGTGTTCTGCCAGTGAAAGGTGACGATCGGAGTGAGGAGATGAAGGTGTGGGTCTCCTCAACGCTGGGAGATTCTCTGAAACTGATTACTAAGAAATTAGAAGAAGTGGATGCAAAGGCAAATGTTGCGGCCGCGGAAAAAGAAGAGCTTGTGAAGCTGCGTGCTGAGAAGGCTGCACTGGAACTGGTTGTTTTGAATAGAGGGAAGGAGTCAAGTACTGAGAAACGAAAAAGGGCGATGGCTGCTCCTGCAGCTCCTGTCGCAGCCACACCAAAGATGAGTGTTGCGAAGGTGCGATCACGTGGCAGCTCAAAATCGAGGTCGCGAAGAGTTGAAATCTCATCGGATGATGAGGTTGAAGATGACAGCGTGAGGCAGAATTCGGCGCCAAAAATGGAAAAGAGCAGGGACCTCTCTGAAGTGAAGAAGCTGCTGTCTGAGCTGGTTCAAGGTCTAATAGTGTAGAAAGGCAAGCAGCGAGCAAGTACTCTTGAGCAGGGGCCCGAGCCTGAGTATGAGGCTGATGGGGCTGAGGACTTGGACCTCACACAAAAACCAATCGATGTTGTGGATGAAGAAGCCGACGAAGATGGACTTGCTGCCTACATGAAAATGAGGCAGGATTTTTACATGTCACTGCATTTTTCACGGGTGCAGGAGCTGTGCAAGCAAAATGGAGTCAGTTATGTACGCAAGGACACTGGTTCATGGGAGCTCGTGCGACTTGATCTGCAGGAGTATGCAGATCAACTTAAGGGCGCAGCTCCGAAAGGAACTGCAGAACCATCGAAGAATGCGGATAACGCAGATCTCAGTGATGGTGCTGAGACTGGTGCTGTGACGATTAAATAGCGGCTGGGTAGCCTTCGGTCACTAAAGAGGGCGGTAACCAGACTGTTGTTCTTAAAAGAGTGTGTTGGTAGTGCACTTTGTGTTGTGCCGGATCGGATTCATGTCCTGATTATCCTATTAGCATGTCTACGTGGTGATTTGGCTTGGGGTAAAGCCTATGTTCGGTTTTGGTTACGTATGTCTCAGGCCGAAATGGGAACGGTTGCTGTATGGCGAAGACTGTGTCTATGTGATCATGGCATTGCGTCATAAGCTCATCTATGTGGGCAAGACGGTACGTTCGCTGAGGGATAGATGGCGAGAGCAATGTCATGCGGTTGGTAGAGGGAGTGGGCAGCGCGTCAACACATGGTTTCAGAAAATCGGTTTGCAACACTACGTCCCGATCCCAATTTGGTTCGGTGAACGATCGGCGATTGAAGGAATGGAGATTAAAATAATTAGGAGTCATAACCCGGGGCTCAACTCGAAAGGATTTGGGCGTAGGAAGAAGCCGCGGAGAAGTCGGGGTGGTAAAAAGAAAGTGTTTTTCTATTCGAATGTGGTTTCCGAGCCTTTGTTGTTCGACTGTCCTGTTGTAAACGCGCGGCAAGAACCTGATTTACTAAGAATTCTCAAGTCGTTACGAAAGAATAAATGCAAGGGCTCTATGGTTATCTCTAACAATGCTGGTTGTCAGTGGGTGAAGGCTTGGAGATTGGTTAAATTGTTGTTCGGGGCGTCAAAAATTGAATGGAATGATGGGAAGATGATGTTGGGGGATTCTAGGGCTATGATAGAGAGTGGGGCGTGTTGGTCTGTCACGACTTTATGCATGACTAAGACCAGGACTGAGCGTGATAAGGCAAAGCTGATTTCTTTGTTGCGTGCACCGTGGAAAAGAAAGAACTTGGTTTCGCTGTCACTGAATGAATTATTACAACTGAATAGCAGTATAAAAACTATCAGCCAAAAGAGGGGGCAGCAGATTCTGAGGGGTATCCTTACTGGTGTGTGTAAGAAGAGGTTTGGAGTAAATCCTAGAATGAATATTACCGTCAAGATTCCTTTTTGTACCACCGTGGATAAATGGAAAGTGGACGCGACTGTGAGGAATTGGATCAGGGAGAGAGTGTTACCATCTTCGCTTGCTGACTTGTATGCAGGAAGGACAAGGACCGTGTGGTTGAAAGCCCACTCGGTTGGCGACCTTCTGCATAACCAGAAGTCCTTTGCACAACCGCATCAGTTCGAATGTGCCTGTGCAGGACTTGATTTGCCCAGATTAAATGGGCATGTAGCGGTCAAGTTGAGCGAAATTAATAACATTCACCCCTTCTTGTTCAATGCAAAAAACGTTCCCTTTCCGGGTTCGATGGATAGCAGAAAGATGGTGGTACGTGCATGCAATGATGCGCTTGACGGGCTGCGAAGTGCGGGCCTGATGATGGAAGAAATGCGTGTTGAGTGGTTGGCAATCACTCGGAGGGGTGAAGTTAGGCATGTTGACTGCGTTCTTAGCGAGTATGTGACTGGTGTGGGTCGTTCGCTTGATGGCTTGGTCCTGTCCCCGCTCGATCGGAACACAAGTGAAACGTGGGTTGAGTGTCCGATACTATATGAGACCGGGCTTCAGAAGATGTATCTCTGCAATGAGAACTACGAGACGGTTTTTACTCCGCCAAATGTGTTGCTGAGCAACTGCAAAGCGGCTTATGAAAGTGTTGGCCTTTGTAAGTTAGCTACCTGGGACCGGCAGGGTGGGTTACAGTTTGCATATGTAATATCCAAGGAAAAGGATAAACTAAAGAAGCGCCTGATTGTTCCCTCGTTTGCTAGTCCTTTTCGCGAGGCATCTGGGTTGCTCTCAACCGCGTTGAACGGATTGATTAGAAGGATAAAAGTGCCGCATTTTAACCTGCGCACGATTGGTGATCTCAAAGGGGAGGTGGGCAGGATTAATGAGTACGGTATGAAGATGGGACTTGATTTTGAGGCGCGTACGTACGACATTAAGGAAATGTTTACGCAACTGCCACATGAGGAGATCATGATGGCAGTACAATGGGTGGTGGATGTGTTTCATGAGAAGGAGGTGAAATGGATTCGGATCAACAGCTGGGTGATTCAGTTTTAAGACAAAAGCAGGGCATTCTAATAGGTGAAAGAGCCAGTCCGCCTCTGGCCTGTGTCATGTGCATGTTTTTGGAATACAAGCTCATGATATCCCTTGGCGCCGATGCCAGGTTTATCACTGGGAAAAGATACATTGATGATCTGCTGTTGGTTTCGTTTTTTAAGAAAGACGACCCAATACTTGTCGGTAAAGCCAAGGAGCGATTCGACTTAGTGACACAGTGCTACCCTGGTGGATTACAGCTTGAGAGGACTGATCCAGGGAATGGTACATTGGATTTTTTGGAGACCAGACTTATTGTGGGATGTGAACCAAGGTGCATTATCATGGCACACAAATTCAAGAATTCGGACTTTATTTGGGGTCCGGACGACTTGCATTTTAGAACCTATAAGGACTTCAGATCATTTGGGCCTACCAAAGCAAAGTACGCCACAGTGGCGAATACCATCCTCCGAATTTCGAGGAATTCGAATAATTGGGGTGTTACCTTCCTCAGTATCTTAACGCTAGCAGAGGAATTAAGGAAACTGGGGTACCCGAGCAAGTTGGTGATTGCAGGTCTAGACTGGATGCGGAGGAGAGATCCGAGTCCTTTTTGGAGTCGTATGGCTGCTATTTCCCGCGTGTGGCTGGGGGAAAAGCGTGGAGAGCGAAGAAGTTTGGTGTGAGGATGCGCTTGGCAAGCCACCTGGCGTCGAGATTACGATCTGTGTCTGGGCTCCCCTGGCAAAAAACTGCGGATTGTAGTAGTCAGGCAATCTGAGTATCCTACGGCAAGTGGTACGCAAGTACAAACTTGGTTGAATGGTCGTTTCAGATACACTGAATCGGGTACAAAGTAGGGAAACGTGGAAACGAGGCAGTCCGGTACGGACAAACCCCCTGCGACGCGATGTGTTCAGACATCAGGTCGGGGCATAGGCTGTGTGGCCAAAAGGCTCAACTGGGTTGAGCTCAGAGGAGAACAGTTTAGCAATGATATTGAGGCAAGAGCGCAAGGTCAAGCGATGAAGAGGGTTTCCCCCACAAAATATGAGGGTCGTTGTCTTGCTCTATAAACGAGTCAAAGATATTCAGAAGGAGGAGAACTCGACGCCTCCGAGCCTAGAGCATAGATTGCTTATACATATGTTTATACGTTTTTTTTTTTTTTTTTTTTTTTTGGAATGAGACATGCTCCGATCTATTCATGGGGAGCAGCACGTGCTGGGAACCGGGCCCAACGTCCCATTCAAAATCATATTGAGAAATTGAGAAATTGAGAAGTTTATGGAAAATCCTTGAGATCCCGGGGCCATTACCCGGCTGCGACTAAGAAAGACAACTGTGCAATCTACACAAGGTGCAGCAAGTACACTGGGAACCTTTTTTTATTGAGATTCTAAGCTGTTTAGAAAATTTCCACAGCAATCATCAGAAAAAAGGGGGCTACCCACAGCAAAAATTGCCAAACAAGAGTCCTACAAGTGCTCAAAAACCTCGAAGTCCCTGGCAAACCCTTCTAAAACTCTCCGACACTGTCTTACTCCTTGCCAAGCTCTTCCAGGCCTCACACCCCCACCTGGTTGGGTTACAGGGCAACACGACTCGCCCCAGCTCCGACCAGCGTCGTCCCAGCAACAACCCTTGGTTGTCCCTTGGAATGCCCACCCCAAAGCATTCCCAGATCTCTCTACCAGGCCTCACACTCCCGCATCAGCAGGTTACAGGGCAACACCCCAGCACCGGCCAGCGTCGTTCTGGCTTCGAACATCCGCAGATCACTGAGTCTAACAGCAAAGGAGCCTCCTAAGATGAGTTGCTAGGAATCCCCCGAGTCCTAAATCATTCGTAAGACCACCATTGACATACGTATCTTTATACATAGTCTAGCATATATCGTTTATACACATAGTCTAGCATATATCGTTTATACATATGTTTATACCTAGTCTAGTATGGCTTCGGACATCCGCAGATCACTGAGTCTAACAGCAATGGAGCCTCCTAAGATGAGTTGCTAGGAATCCCCCGAGTCCTAAATCATTCGTAAGACCACCATTGGCATACGTATCTTTATACATAGTCTAGCATATACCGTTTATACATATGTTTATACCTAGTCTAGTATAGAGTGTTTATACATATGTTTATACCTAGTCTAGTATAGAGTGTTTATACATATATTTATACATAGTCTATTGTAGGTTGTACCCTACACTACACTTAGAATGGTATAATTGCTTTAGTCATAGTCTAAATTGAACAGATTGTTTATACATAGTCTACTGTGGATAAGTGAACAGATTGTTTATACATAGTCTACTATCGATAAGTGAACAGATTGTTGTTTATACATAGTCTACTATCGATAAGTGAACAGATTGTGAATGCATAGTCTACAGTTTACTGTCGATAAGTGAACAGATTGTTTATACAGTCTTCTGTCGATAAGTGAACTGATTGTTAATACATAGTCTACAGTCTACTGTCGATAAGTGAACAGATTGTTTATACATAGTCTACCGTAGGCTGTACCCTAGACTCCACTCTTAGGCTGTACCCTGACGTCAATAAAGACGGCAGAGATAGACACGGAGACCATACCTGATGGAGGGCTGTGGGAAACCCCTCCTGCCCTGCAGCCCGTGCAGGCAGATTCTGCACTGTTCATTGTGACCTTGTATAAACAGCAGCTGGAGGAGATGCACGCGTTGCTGAGTCAAGAATATGACAACCTACCAGATGGCATCTTGTTGCAGGGAGAGGGTATCTACGATGGGTGGGAGGAGGAACTGTATGACCAGATCTCTCTTCGACAGTTGAATATGAATGACAGAGCACATACGATGACTGCCCTACACGAGTGTGTTGGGATGCTGGTGCAGGTGAAAGACGTGTGTCGGGCTTCTAGCAAGCAGAGACGTGAGTGGTCCATCAGGTGAGTTGCTCTCATCTGAAGGCCAGGACAGCGTGACACGGACAGCATCAATAACATCAACAACATCAACAACATCAACAACATCAATACCGGCAACAAGAGCAATATCGACAATTACAACATCTACAACAGCGACATCACCAATTAGTCCACTCTGTGTCCAGCAGCAACGGTCATTTGCTCAGGCGTGTGATGAATTCGGTGCCGATCACATGGTGCATATAACATTAGAGCGATACAGGCAATCCCTAACGCGCCTTCGGCCTCAGTAAGGCACGGAGAATACACTACACGAGCATTCACCACCGACAAGGGCGCCTTCGGCGCCAGCGAATATGCAATCACGGGATCGGCCTCCCTCGATAATGATAATGAGAAGGTCGACAGCCTGTCAGTCTCAGTCTGTTGTAGTGAATAATGAAGATTTGACGGATGTGGGAGCGGCGATCCGGGCGCTTGCTTCGGAAGCTTTGCTGACATCTGTTTCACAATCTTACCAACAGCCCGCGGAAGATCAAAAGGCATCGTCATCATTGTTTGACAACGATGCTTCGGCCGAGGTAGGTGATGCGGTTCCCCCGCTTGTTTTGAAAGGTTTTTTTACAATTGATTCGTCATCTACCCATCAGGCTGATGCGGGCAATGATATCATGTGTGATGATTTACCGTACTATGACGACGACAGGGTTTTTATTGATTTCGCAGGGGCATGCTATCCCCCCCAGAGGTTAATACTAATGAGCTACGGCGTCGTACAATCATGGGGGTGGCTCGGGCAGTTGACCACGGCGGGGGGGGTGGGTTTGATGGGTTTGGCATGTGTTTTGATTGTTTCACTCCTGCGCAAATATCACCTGCCGGCGTCTCTTTTTGACCTAGGGCTTCCCCCTGCTCCCTCCCTGTTGCCGGTCGCGACTGTCATATTCTGTGGCTGCCACTGGTGGGGGGCACGATGGAGAGGAGCGACAGGAAGGTCTGTCTTTTGGGTGGTGGATAGGGGGAGGAGATAGGATAATCAATAAGGGATGGGCAGAACTCTGGTTGGCGAAATGGCAGGGGGAAGAGTATGCATGGCAGATATGTGACGATAATAATAATAAAAATAATGATATATATGTCGCACATGTTGCTAACCTCTGCCAGAAATTTGACAAAAACAATCTCGTGAGGATGATCTTTGTCGGGGGCTAGGGTTTGCTTTGCACAGTTATGACTGTGAAGGATTAGGGAGATTGGAGGATAGTTTGTCACCCTCCCCATGGCTAGATCTTCACACATGCTGTGACCTGGCTGATAATTGGGCGGGCAGTCAATCCCGTCGTGAGAGGGCAATCAATGCTGTTCCGTCAGGTATATTGTCTCCAATCTTGTTAGTGGGACGCTGGGACCCGGTCTCCAGCAGGTGATGCTCCCCACCAATAGACTGGAGCCATCTATAAACTGGGGCTTGCAATTGGAGGATGCTTATATCACCTCCAATAGCAGGTTGCCACAGATGTTTCGGTTTAAAAAAAAAAAAAAAAAAAAAAAAGAGTGGTAGAGTCTGTCGATCGTCCCTAGACTATCAATAGATGATACATAGATGATCTATACACCCACTTATGGACCATCTGTGGAGTACGGGATAATAAACACTTAAACCAGACTGTTAAATTGTTTGGGGGCAAGGCGTGAGGGAGGAAGAGGTTCAGGCAATGTGAACCTGGGGAATGGGGGGTTGTGTGCAGTGAAGGGGGCACTTAGGGAGGGTGGTGGGGCCAGCCGGCCGGATCGCAGGTTCAAACCTGGTGCGGACAAAAGACCCCGCCACCCGCATTCTGAAAATAAGGACAAAAAAACCCTCATGCAAAAAAGGCTGGTGTGCGCCACCACCCGGGGTATTACGTGCGCATACTACGCAGTGCACTGGTCTGCACTTGGTGCTCCAACATCTCTGTAGTGTACCACAAACTGCCCGCAGGCGTCTCCAGGACGTGCACCCGGTCCATGAGATCAGAGGGGCCAGCTGCTGCTGCTACTGGTTGATGTTCAATGACGTTCAACTGCATCCCACTCTGCAGCAAGGCCCTGCACATGTTGGTGCAAGGTCAAAATGTCCTCTTGCTGAGCAGCAA